CTTCATAACATCTCATGCCTGAAGTCCACATATCACTCTCTACATCATGCTAATGTAGCTAAAGGTGTCTAACGGTTCGGTACAGATCGGGTCTCCACACCCGACCCAAATCGAACACAAAAAATAAATGTCCCTTGCGACCCGAACCGAGACCCAAACTGCATAATGACCGAGTTGAAAAAAACGGTTCGGATTTTCGATTTTTCCCTTTTTCAAATTTTCTTTTCGGGCCTCCTCCTCCTCCTTCTTCCTCTTCCCCTTTTGCGTACCTCTGTTACAGCGATTTAGCAAACTCCAAGAGTCTCTCTGTTACAGTAGGTCATCAAGCTCCACAGTTGAACACAATGCCATGGACAGATCTTGATTTCACGATGCGAGCTCCTTAACGTTATCAACGGGACAATCTTCACCCACAACGTGTCTCCTCCCGGTCTAGAGATGCTTCGCTAGACCGGATTGGAAATATCATAGGAATACAAGGAAAACAATATATATACTTCAACGGAATTTAATCGACGTAAAAAATACACAAAACCTTGCCGAAATTTAACCGACGAAAAAGTAAAGTGAGATAAAAGATATAATGTCAGAATCTAATTGACGAGAAAGATCTGAAAACTACAGCTAAGATGCACACCAAAATTTAATTAACGAAGAAATATCTAAAAACTACGGTTACGGTACATGAATTGACAACTTTTGTTTGTTTTGTGCGACTGGGAAGGCTACAAAGAGTACGATGTGGCAACTTAAAATCTATGATCGACAGTTGCAAATGGAGTTTACAAACAAAGTTTACAAGCAAAGTTAACAAACATTTACTACGACTCCACTATTTGAGGATCACTAAGACTCCACTACTCGATAGTTACATTGATTCCATTACTAGATAGTTATATCAAGGGTTAGCTTAACGGTTTCATCGACTTCACGACTTCGACGGTTACTTCCTTCTACTTCGTTGATGGTTACTTCTTTGACGAGTGCATCTAGGATTGTCGATTTCACTATTTGTCAATTCCTTTAAGTTGTCAATTTCTCAAGTTGTCGACTATTTTGTACATAAATGACCAAACTCTACTTTCATCGACTAAGTCTATTACATATCGATAATAACCAAAAGTTGGTCATTTCTCGATCTAAACAAATACCCATTTTAAAAGAATTGAATGATTCATTGATCATTCGATTCATTTAAATTAAATAATCAAGAATCATCATGTGCCCTCTTATTATCGGCAAATTTGATTTTTCTCTGCCGAATTTTATATTGGGCCAAATTCATCATCTGACTCATAAATTTCATGAAAGGCACGTTTTCTGTAAAGTCTTCTTGTGGCCCTCTCTATCTTTATCCTTCAGTAGTTGCACTCTTGTTGCGAATCGAAATAAATTGGCAAAGATTTTGGCCTTCAAATTTTTCTTTGAGATTGAATTTTAATCCACTGACAGCCAAATTGTGAATTCTTTCTCTGAGAGTGAAGTAATGCATTCATTTCTAGCCATCTTAAATCGAGCAACAAACTAATTGACCGACTCATTATTGTATTGATAAATTCTAGTCAAATTCATGTTCTATAAAATTGATAATGGAATTATCTTCCCATCTCAGCCTCAAGTATGGATTGAATTAGGAGATAAATTCATATACCAACTAAATGCAGTTTTTGATAAAAACAGAGGGAACAACCTATACCTTAGAAATTCATTTATTTTTGCATCCCCATTGCCCAATGTGTTCAACAGTCGATTGATCATCTTCGCCGGTAAATACGGCGAAGTCAGGATTCTTGAATCCTTGGGTATGGTATGTTATTAACCCAATCGGGATGTGGCTATCTATATACTAGTCTAACAATTCCTCTATCGACATCTATTCGTTGTGCAATCATATATATTATTTGCTAAATATCTGAAAATTGATAGACCTAACCTTCTTTCCCTCTAGGTTCAGGCTAGATCAGTCGATAAGCCTGACCTTGTTAGCCCCTAGGTTCAAGATAGAAAGGTCGATAAGCCTGACCTTCATGCCCTCTAGGACCAGGATTCAAAGGTTAATCTTGAATCGAATTGTCGACATTGGGATTAATTGGCACATTTGACCCATATGGTAAATTTCCTGCATTTTGGAGGTAAGATTGCACCATAAGGCCTCACATTATCCCCATTTGGAATTGGCCCAACAGGAGGTCCATTCCGTGGAATACTTTCATTTGCCATATTATTGTCAACAGGATTAATTTAGATTGGATTAACTTGGTCATTTCCATTGACAGCTTTTGTAAGATCGTCACCGGTGGTGGGATCACTTGCCCTAAATTATTTTCACCGTTCAATTGATTGAGAGTTGGAGGAACATACCCAGAAGTCAAAGTGTTCGATTGGATCGGTATAAACTGATTGGATGTCCCGAGCCCTAAGATGACATTGTTGACCACGTTAATGACCATCGGCTTGATCGCATTGCAGGGATGTCTCATCATGTGATATGCCGTCTCATTTTGTTGTTCCTTGAATAGCCTCTTCATCGTAGCCACCAAAGTGGGGTTTGGTGCTAACTCCCTTGCTTGTTCTTCCGTAGAGGTGTCGTGGGATTGATGTCAGCATTCTTACCGTGGCTTATCTCTATCACTGCAGGAGCGGTTGAGGTCTAGGATTGGGTGACCCTTTCACCAGGGTTGTTACTTGCAGCATGATCGGGCCCTAGGTGATTCCTTGTTCTCGGCATTGTTAATCCGTGGGATAAATCAAAACTGATATTACTGGGCATGCCAAAAAGATATTTCGCTCAAATTGAATTCGACAAGGAAATTCATTTCACCAAAAGTCGTTCTTTGATTTTTTTTATGAGAAAAGATAGGTTCTGTGATGATTTCGGATTATGAAATATCACAGGAATGCAAGGAAACCAATATATATACTTCAACGGAATTTAATCGACGTCAAAGTATACAAAACATTGCCAATATTTAATCAATGACTAAGAACAATAAGATGAAGATTCAACGTTGGAATTTAATCGACGATGAAGATATAAAAACTATAGCTAAGATACACTTTGAAATTTAATCGACGGTGAAATATCTGAAATTTATAACTACGATACGGGAATTGAAAGATAACAAGTTTTGTTAGTTTTGTGCATGGGGGCTTATAAAGAGTACGATGTGGCTATTTAAAGTTTACAATCGACGTTACAAAATGTTACAAATACATATTACAATTGGAGGTGACAAACAGAGTTTATAAATGATTACTACGACTTCACTATTCGACATTTACTAAGACTCCACTACTCGACGGTTACATCGACTGCATTACTAGATGATTATACCAATGGTTACCTTGATGATTTTATCGACTCCATGATCTTGACGATTACTTGCATCCGAGATTGTCGACTCCATTACTTGTCAATTCTTTCAAGTAAACGATTCATCAAGTTGTTGATTCCTCAAGTTGTTGACTATTCTACTTATAAATGATTAAATTTTGCTCTCATCCATTAAGTCTATCACATGTTGATAATAACAAAAGATTGGACATTTTTTGGTGCATACAAGAAAGGGTGAGGCTCGATGACTGTTGATCTCATCGAGATCTAGATGGCCATGGAAGAGAAACAGAGCTCGATTGTGAACAAACCATGGACGCAGCTCTGGAAATCTGGATGTCCACGGATGCAATTGAGATTTGGACTACCATGAAGAGCTTAACTATTGTGGATGATGGCTCCGGCAAAGTTGATGGTAAGCTGTTGGCGTGGATCTGGAGGAGACACCGCCGACCATGGAGGTCGAACGGAGTCGGACAACTATAGCTAAGAGAAAAGACCCGCGAATGGGATTCGACGGAGATTAGGCTCCAATAGCCGTACTCACTTTGACTATCGGAGGACTATAGAGGCGCGAATAATAACCATTATGTTTCCCTATTTTTCTATTTTTTGTGTTCCCGGAAACAAGTTTGAAACAGAAAAGCGTTTGGTAAAATAATTTCATTTTTTCATTTTTGGGACAAATTTTGGCCTAGAAATAGATTTGAAACAGAAATGAGAAGTTAAAATTTTTTACTTTTCTATTTTTTGAACATAAACTAAAATAACAACTTTTTTTTATTGCTCACCCTTGCCGCCCGCCGCCGCTCGCCGCCTGGCCGCCCGCCCGCCACTACCCCCCACTTTCGCTCGTCGCCACCACCGCTCGCCGGCCATCCGCTGCCGTTCACCGGCCAACGGGAATAGAAATTTTGCGTCGTTATCAAACGAATTTCTATTCCAAGAATAGAAATTTTGTGTCGTTATCAAATACTACTTTTTGCTTAGAAACTTGTCTAGGAAAGAGAAATAGATTTTTTTATTTCGAGCCAGAAATAGGGCCGAGGATGAGAAATATTGTAATTCACGCCCTACGTGCTCTAATTCGATTTCTGTTGAGCTCTTGTTGACACATAACGCACAACAAGAAGAACAGGATTACAAAAGGAAAGGGGTTCGAATCTGATCGTTTCGGGTGAGCTCGGTTATATGACCCGAACCATCAAAATACCCAAATTCTTCCACTCAATACCCGAACCAAATGAGACCCGACCTAGAAAGACCCGAAATTTTCGATTCTAACCGGTTCGGTTATTTGGACACCCTGTAGACATAGGCATTTACACACGTGTCCTCATCTAGCTCTAGATCCATGACTTTGAGTCACTGGGAAAGGGTGATCATAACGAAAGTCAAAAGCGACAGCCTCAACCGATTTTAATTTCGTCCTCGCCTTACACATTCGGTATCGTTTTTCCCCCTCGAGACAGATCGATTTTACCAGAATTTTCCGTACAGTGAAAGCGCAGCATACAAAGTATGAACAGACAATACACGGGAGGATATGATCAACTTGGTATCAGAGGTTCAGGAATGAAGGTAAGAACGTGTCAAAATGTAGGGATACGTGTTTTGGCAAGAAGAAAAAATTGGAATACGTGTCTAAAATGAAGGTCAAAATGTCCGGACCCAAAGGATAGATAGATATCACATAGTTGATAGCTAGCAACAAGCCTGATTTTGGCCATAACCTGGGAGCAGGAGAGGCAAATGGTACATAAACAAATTGTCACCACCATACTTTTGCCAACAAATATACACCTGGGAAATCACAGACTTCTACTAAAACCCAATTGTAAAAGATTACTTACTTACGAGGTAAGCAGACCGCAGAGCCAAAATTTTTATGGCTGGTGAGACATCACATCCGCCGTCGAGCCAAAAGGGCAGGGTTGTGAAACTCCCAACTAGAGCCTCGTGTATAAGCATCTGGGTATTACACTATCTGTATTGTATTGCAGGTACAGGTAAAACTTTTTACCTCTACAGTACCAAGAAGTTTAAGTTGAAATCTTACGTGGCACGACAAGAACTTGATCGATTCAGGAGGGGGATAGAACCTTTGTTCCCCCAAGGAAAAGGGTGATTTCCAGTGAATTGCCGGTTTGGCGGAAAGTACAGTAATGCTCACTCTTTCAAATCCAGGTACTCGTCGAATATTCGACTGCTTGCGCACTCCACCAAGGTTTTCGCGTTGAGTTCTCTACCGAATCTCCATATGTAATTCAGACCCACGAGGAGCTCCGTGATGATGGCCTCTGTCTTCTCCTGATTTGCGAAATAAAGGGTCTGTACAAGGAGCATGTTCGTCCTCGAGACCAGGTTCTGTTGCTCAAAGCTACGCTCGGACTGCCACCTTATCATGTTATGCGCGAGAGGGGCCAACCAGTCCAGTATCCGTGATATCGCCTCGCTCCACTCGCCTGCAAGAGCTGTGTTGTAATCCGATGAAGCCAAGCTCTTGGCACATGGCTTTAGCCTCGATTTTAAAGTGGTCCTCACGCTTGCAGGCAACATATTGTACAGATCATCCCTGGCATCGAGACCAATCAAATGAGGAGCTTCAGCTAGCTTCTGGATTACAATAATGACATTTGCATAGTGCAGCGCTAAACCGGCAGCACCAAGACTCTCTGGCAGGGCATTCAGCAATCTGCGCTTAGAGCTGAAGCTTGATAAATTACCATCAACCTTGTATCCATTGACATCTTCAAGCTTACTGTCTTTGCTGCTGTCATGGATTCCGGGAGGTACACCATCTTTATCTACATAACAATCAGTTACAGGTGAATTGTTCCCGTTCATCACGCAACCTTTCAGAGGTCCAATTGAAGCCAACTGGTTCTGCTTGGAATTTGACTTCCTTCCTTGGAATACAGAAGAATGACCAAGACCCCGCCATAGCCCCTGCCGGATCTTATTTGCACTAATTAATGGGCCAGATTTTGTCGACTTACCAGGAGGACCAGGATGGAAGTTGACACTGTTAGCATTATGCATTCCAGGAGCAGGGCTAGCCCTCGCGCTGGAGCCTCCAAGAGGACCAGAATAGAAGCTAACGCTCTTGGGGTTATCTATTTCAGAAGCAGTGCTCGCTTTCGTGTTGGAGCTGCCAAGAGGACCCGAATAAAAATTCTTGGCATTACTTGCCTTCGGAACGCGAACTGATTTTTCAGTCGACCTCCCAATGGCACCAGAAAAGAACCTCGGATGGTTGTTCTCAGAGGGATGAACAGAAGATTGAAGTTGTGCAGACAGCGGCTGGCTGCGAGATACATGATTTGACGCCTTTGGTTCCTTGATATCACTGCCATCATCAAGCTGTTGAATCCCGAAGACACGTTTTATCTGCACAAACACTGTAAACAATGACCTTGCCAATAGCCGAACTACATAGTCATGATTTTTGTTCCAGAGAGACATCTCCTGCAATGTCTTGACCTCATGCCGCTTCCACACGACCTTTTTCTGGTATTCCAGTAAATTGGCTGGATCGCCATCATTACTCTTCATTCTTTTCAGAGTCTGCTCAAGGTCAGCAAGAACTTCCGTCTCTTGATACAAGTTCGCGTTAACCGAAACAAATCTTTCCATCTTCTTGATTTTCCTCTCCATCTTCTTCCATGTGAGTTTCCAACCACATGGGTCGTCACCCCTCCTCATCAAATTTTCAAAGAAGACCTCAAAACTCTTCAAGCCAGGGTCGGTGCATTTCTTCCCCAGCCTGGCCACAGATTTTGCAATGTTTCTCATATTCTCGATCATCTCGTAACATATCAGCCGCACAATGAACTCCTCATCATCCGAAATGAGCTTCTTTATACCAACTGAATCTGCGATCTCCTCTCTCAGCCGCTTAATGTTCTTGTCACTCAGAGACTGCCAGAGATGTACCACCTTCGACATCAAGCTTGCAGACTCAAACGCTAATACACCAATCACCACCTTCTGAGAACCGGCCGCATTCTTCCGCGGCGTTCCCCAAAGACTACGAAACCAAGATTCTGCAACCATCTTCCCCGAAAATTGCACCTAACAAAAGTCTTTACAGCAAACTCACCATCAAATCCCTCGATTCTGCGACATTGAACGACGAATATACTAAAAACTTAATGAAGCTGATGAGACCAAATTAAGCAAAAGAATCAATCACAACAACAAATAAAATTTCAGAAGTCTCCAAGATCTATAGAAAGGAATGAATAGCCAAGGGACCATAAAGTCCACTGCATGTGAAGTAACAAGGATACAAGGAACTATTTCAGCTGACAAATATGAGCGTTTCAGAGGTAATACCAACCACACTGTTTGCAGCTCAAATCGAGAATTTCAGAGATCAAAAGCCCAAGAAGATCAATAGAAGAACAATCCAAACAAAGAAAAAAAAATAGCTAAACAAAATTCCTTCTTTTACCAAAAATACAAATAAAGCGTGCAACAAAAAAAAAACAGACTGATTTTCAGAAAAACAGGCAGCAACAAGTCAAACCAATAATCATAGAATAACAACGGATTTAAACAAAAAAAGCACCTCAAACCCAAGTTCTCTTCACCCCCTTCTTTCACAAAATTCGTGTAAAACAACAGGAACGAAGCCGCAACATGAAATCGAAAAAATCCCAAACACTTGAGATTTTCATCCTGTAAAGAGCTTCCCTCGAGAGCTTTCCCGGCAATCAAAAAGCAATACCCAGAAAGAGAAAAAAAAAGAAGAAGGAAGAAAGAAACAATAAAGAAAACCTCAACAGCTACTTTTCACAGGGTCACGAACTGCTTTCACTCGCTTCAGCGTGACAAGATCGAGCCATCGAAACAAGAAGGCGACCCAGCAAACACCCCCAGGAGTCCAGGCTCCACGCACTACAAATTCCAACCGAGGCCCGAATTCAAGAGAGGCAAGAAAGTTCAAACAGCTGAACCGAACTGGGCACAGCACAGCACACTACATTCGCACAGACCCAAAAGGCCCAGAAAAGCAGAGCAATCAAAAGAGCGACTTTTACCAGCAGCATGAGCCTTGCAGGGTCATCTCCTCACCGCCCACCTAGAGAGAGAGAGAGTGTGTGTGTGGAGGAAGGAGGAGGGAAGGTGCAGAAGAGGAGGAGTGAAGGGCACATGGGAGGAAGCCGAAATTTTAGAAAGAGCGAACAAAACGAGTGAATTAAAGAATTCCTTCCAGCACCAGTGTGCCTCCCTTTTGCAATCCCGGTCCCTCTACTTCCTCCTATTTACCCAATTGGCCCCTCCCATCCTGGCCCACAAGTAATCATTTTTTCTAGATTGACCCACATAAAGGAATTCGAAAGTTTCTTTTGCTCCTCGCTTCGTTTGGGGGGGTGGCAAAGAGTCAAAGGCGAGGGGGAAGATGATGGACAGCGGGAGAACAAAAGCGTTGTTTCTTTTTTTTTTTCTGTTCTTTGAGCTAATAAAATTTGACCCAATTATTTGGTCAAACTAATGATTAACTATGATTCTCGAACGGGGTCATTTTTTTTTTCTTTTTACCATTCCACGTTTTATAAACCACACGTCCCCGCACAATCTGATTTTTATCTAGAATTACATAAATGTCGGCATGCATATACACTAATTATTCTTTCGAAAATTTTAAAAGGAAAAAAGAGCCATAAAAAACCTTCAAATTATGCCCGTGTGATACATTTACACTCCGTTAAGATTCTGTCAATGAACGCCGCTAAAAATCTGCATATATGGACGCTGGAAGGTAAACGGGGTTAAAATGGTGTCTACGCGGCTTAAATGAAACAAAAACGATATTGTTTTGGCTGAAAAATCATCTGACACAAACATTGACGAAGACAAATGTGTTATGTAGGTACAATTTTGGGATTCTTCACGGTAAATGTGCCATCATATGCATGATTCGTGAATTTTTGATGACTTATTCCCATGGTTGAGATGGAAAATAAATCGACTAGCCCAAACCCAAATTGCGGGTTGACTCGAGTCAAAACTCACAGGCGAGTCAATCATTTTGTATGGTCCCAATCATGTGTTGTAGGATGATAAAGCGACTTTGGCCAATTAACTGTTGGGACATTGACATGTAATTAAAAAGGAATCTCACAGGGGAGGATTATTCGGCCGAATTGAAAATGAGAGGTTTCTACTACTCCAATCTGTGCAAAGAAAGGTAGGCCGAACGAAGGAAAAACAGCCAACAGAATTATGCATTTTGGTGCATTCACTTATCCGCATGAACAAATATGAAAAAAAGAAAGATTCAATTAAAATAGAAATTATAAAATACGGTACGATCCTTAGAAAAATAATATTAATTGCCGGCGAAGTGAATTAACTCGAGCAAGCCGACTGCCATCACCATCCATGAATAAAAGGGTGATATCCTGAACAGACTGTTAACGGGATCTTGATTTATCCTATCTTTTTTTTTTCTCTCTCTCGATGATTATAACGACAGTCGATATTATTTTATAGCAAGTGTAGAGCTCGCCAAAAGCCCCGCCCCGAGTTTACCCTCTCTTTTTTATCCTTTTCTCCCCGCATACATCGAATAAATTATAGCCATGTGGTTGATCTGTCAACAGGGGTCTACTCAAATCTTCCGTTTTAAAAACCCGACCCCCCCTAATTTTCCTTGCGGTGTACACAAATATATATAAAATTAATTGTCTAATTAAATGTAATCGCTATCATAGTGTTAAAGAGTTTTAGGAAAAAGCCACTTCAGCCATCGAGATTGCGGGGCCCGCCACTTAAGACCGTTCAAAAAAGGCTGGGAGAAACTGGGAGCCTCTCGGTTTTTTGATGAAACAAAATCCCGATCGCTCATCGGGGTGTTTTCTCTCCCCCCGGGGGGGGGCTAATGTGAAAAGATCGGGAACGTTTCGGGGACCGGAACGTGGATAGCCAAAAGAGGAAGGCCCCGGTGAGGAATTAAGTGGAAGTCGAGGGGCCACACGGGAAAAGATGAGAGGAGAGCAGTCGCCATCATTAATGGCTACCACGCGGAAACGAGCCGTTTTTACCGATTTGACCCCGGCGTCTTATGGGAGAGGAGCTGCGAGTCGCCGTGGCCGCGAGGGGAAAAGAGGAGCCGACGCTACTTTTCTTTAATGAAAAGGGAATTTACTTATTTGAGCCCTGTTCCTTTTGTTTTCTTTCGGGGAAAACTGATACGAATAGGCATTAAACTTTAATTTAATATATAACGTCGCCTCTCGACTTTTAATTTGTTCAATATGATAATATTATCATCGAACTTTTCATCTGTTCAGTACAATCCTTGAACTTTTGGTACGTGTTCAATTTAATCACTGTACTATACGAATATATTCAATATTGTCCCTGGGTTTGAATTAATGGAAGGATAACATTTGATGTAATTGTACTGTTCGGGGACTAGATTGAACATTTACCAAAATTTTAAGGATCACATTAAACACATTAAAAGTTCATGAACGACATTGCATATTAGGTCAAAGTCCAATAACTATTTATGTAATTATCAATTTTCTTTTCTTCGTGGGCAACAAGGGCAGCTATCCCTTTCGGCATTTACCATGACGATTTTACTTCTTACAGAATGTTCGGTATGAGTGATTCAACTCAATCCACTTATAGATGGGGTTAATTCCAAAAAAGCACCAACTTTAGGTCGAGGGACGATTTCGAACTTTTTTTGTCCCATAAAAAGCACCAACTTTAGGTCGAGGGACGATTCGCCCGAACTTTTTTTGGTCTCGTAAAAAGCACCAACTTTCATTTAAATCCTAAATTTGACCCCCAGTGACTTTTGTCAAAGTTATCCTTGTTTGAGAAAAAAAGTTATGGTGGTGAGGCCGGCGAATCTCTTCCATGGCGTCTGTTGACGGGCGGTGGTCTACACTTTAGATTACGACAAAACGACGAAGTTTGGTTAGAAAGATTCAATCTGGAGATATTTTTGACTTGCTTAGGTGAAGTGAAGGAGACGAACGGTTTCACCGTTATTCTTCAAGCCGTGGTTCGGAGAGAATAAGACAATGAATAATGCTTTAAATCCAGTCGCAAGTCACGTGGATTTATTCTAAGGTAGAATAGTCTAGTTGGAAAATCAATTGTTTTAAGTCAATAATGATTTGGGATTTAAGTGAAAGTTGGTGCTTTTTATGGGACAAAAAAAGTTTGGGCCATAATTGTCCATCGACCTAAAGTTGATGCTTTTTATGGGAACAAAAAAAAGTTCAGGCCAAAATTATCCCTTGACCTAAAATTGGTGTTTTTTTTTGGAATTAACCCCTTATAGATGTATGAGCCCGTCATGGCTTAGGTAATAAATGTCCAGAGCACAAATGTTCTCTTGTGACCACGTGGAAGACGATGTGACCCGTTTATCATTGGACTATCACGACTCGATAATGATATTTTGGTTTTAGCTTTCAATTTTTTAGTTTTCTAAGACGTACTTGTTTTATTATGTGTAGCGATTAAGGATTTTAACTTATGGGAAGATTCTTGTTGGAATCACAAATAGGAACGGAATCGAGTCAACACAAATTACTATTGAGCTTGATTTAGCTTGAATATCCAAGGCTCCATACTTGACTCGAGCTCAATGGAGCTTGATATATCGAGCTCAAACTCGACTCGATTAGGTTTTCATTAAGCTCGAGCTCACTCAACTCAATTTAGTAAGTAAATAATTTATTCAAAACTCAAATTTGAGCTCACATCTGAGCTCGAATTCGGGAAACAAATTACAGTTAAAAACTTAATAATTTTTGTCAATTGACTCGTACTTATAAACGATCATAATTAAAGCATGTAAAAGTATAATTGCTCAATTAGACTCGCGAGTTACTCCAGTCTAGCATCATCAAACTCGAGCTCGACTCGACTAAGTATTTGAGCTACTCAAACTCAAAAAGAATTGAACCGAGTTCAGCTAATCCCTAGTCGAATTAGAGTAGCTCGCGAGCAGCTTACCTCATTTACGTCCCTAATCACGATCGTTCCTCTCAAAGTATCCTTAAGGGTCGAATCAATCATCTTGTTACCGTAGCCTTACTCGATGCACTCGCGCAAAAGTATTCGCGTGGAACCATCGGAAGCAACCAAGCTGAAAAAGTTCGAATACTCATCCAATGAAAGCACGCAATTAATAAGAAATTCTCCAAGCCAAAAAGTTTTAAAAGCAATTCCATTGCAATCCAAGAATGTTTTCATGTATCTTTGGAATTACTTTGACAGGTTAACGGGAATAATATCTGACCTAATTTTCACGGGATGTCGCGAATATTGCATTGCACAGCAGATGCTAGTTGTCCAAGAAGCAATTAATAAGACGAACTATTAATCAAATTGCTTTATTAATTTAGTCGAAGAAAATTGCAACGATGCATGTTCTGGCTGTCCGGGCGTTATGTTAAGCCAAAGCAACATTAAAAAAAGCAAAATAAAAAAATTGCTAAGTTCCAGTCGGTGTCCTGATTCTTAAGATCCGGGTACTTAGGGTTATTTTGGCGCTCCATTGCATGTGAATCTAAAAACAGCATTTGCCCCTTTGCATGCATGACATTGCCTTATAATATATAGGCAAGCAATTTGTCTCTACTATACTCTGCAAAAGAAGGAAGATATTAATACATACTTTTGGCTTTGGGAAGTGACCGCTGACCACATAAACCCAATATTTATAAATTATATGGTATGCGATGTAGGAATCTTTTTTGTGATCACTTACTCTTTGTTGGGATCAATTCCTTCGGATGACCATCCTCAGTGAAGCCAACCTACCACTTGTGAAAAGCGAAATGTCTCGTATTCCTAACTGGTTAGTTAGGTCCGGTGTCGTTCAAGGGATGATTACCTTTTGATCGATCCATTTGGATTTCGTCGACACGCCGATTAAATCGATCTTATCGGTCGCTCCTTTGACCGGAGCTTTTCCTCGGTCCATCCGATCCCCAATTTGGACGAGTCAAATAATTGCGGCCGGTCGACATGATTTGGTGAAGCTCGCCGTGTACCATTAACATAAAACGTATCGATTGCGAATACGAGTACTAATGATTAGCATGGAAGACTAAGGGGTCAATGAATTTCTTTTATTTTTGGGCAATGGCTTTACTTTCATCCCCACCAATTCGTCC